TAAAAGACTACACTTGGGTGATTTCCCGCTCTGTTGAGAAAACAGCAGCAACCATGAAAAGACCTTAAGCCACAGCCCATCAGCCACAGCCCTTGATCTATAGAGACGGGCAAAGGCCTTTCGCAGCTTCCAAGCGTGATAGCGATATTATAATTATCCTAAACTGCTGCTTGATCGACGCTACTGTTGGTTCAGCAACAGTTGTGGGTAGTGTCGCTCAAGCAACAGCGCAATTCAGCAATAACAATGGCATAAACATGAAACCACAACTCCTGGACAATCGACAGGACTCAGATCATAACATAGTTTCCGGGTAAGAGTCATCCTAACAAACATTAAAAGCTCAGTTAGTCCACAGGACAAAGAGTACATTACCTGACCCTCGTCTTATCATCCGACAACCGATTCCAACAAACAACAACGCACGCATAGTTCCCGAAACATGAAGCAATCGTCACAGGATGGGTTCAAGAACCCAGAGAAAAATGATAACTCGTCAACGTGGGGGAGGCCTTTTAGAGGGCACGTGAAATCCAAATAAACTCGTCAGTCGGCCGCCAGACAGACTCCATTCCAGGTTCAGTTCAGGTCCAACAGGATTTCTTGACCCCTGACCACCGTGCGACGGGAAAATAGTGCACACTAGGACGACAAACTCTGTGCCCCGGTGAACGCAATTCGCCGCCACGCCCCGCAGTAGCAGTACAAAGCTCACAGCCCTGACACCCAAAACGATCCGCCAGAGAGAGAGATCGAGAGGGAGAGAGGAAGGACTGTGTGCCCGCAGAGTCGACGTTCACTGTATGGAGACTGTCAGAGGCTCATACTCTGAACCAATCTCTGTGCACTCGATCGTCTCGTACGCGGGCGACGCGCGCGCACGAGGAATCTTGGTACTTTTGAAAAGAGGCGTACCGGCTGCCGCCTAACCGATGCGGCTCACGCTCCGCGACGGCGCGCTCGTGGGAATCCACGGTGGATCTCTGGCAAGGCGAGCCGCCCGCTGCCGTATCTGGCACCGGAGCGGCTCTTTGATATCTCCTCCGGTTTGATTTATGGTTCGGGATGTGGTATGGTGCGAGTTGCTCTCGGTGAAAAACGCTTTATTTGATGTTTGATTCGGGTCGACATAGCTGACCCTCTTGATCTCAGAATCGATCCTTCTGATGATGGAAAAGAATCGGAGGAATTCCCAAGGCGATCGACATTGAGCCTGTAGAGTAAATAGTGTCCTCAATTGCATTGACGCCAGATGATACGAGTGATATATTGTTTTTGGTTGAGTCTCCAGACATGTCTTTTGATGAGAGGTGTGGTTGAATTCTTCATGCGCAAGCACTCCTCTTGGATAAAGATGCACTTTTTTATCTTTGTTTAACAATGATCACCGTATAGAGACTTTTTTTTATATATCTTTTGCAGATTTTCGTTTTGCATAATTGGGCGTACGGATAAAAATGGATTGATACTGCAAGTTTATCTAAATCAAATAATGTATTAATAGAAGCGATAGAATATGATCCTATTGGGCATTGTAATCATCTTACTTGCTATGTTGACAATCTGTTGAGAGATTTATATGAGTTGATTATGTTTGTGAATCGATATCAATCCTAGCCTTTGACATGGTTTGATTTCTGATAGATTTGAATTTTGTTTGTGTTACTTTCGCGTCTTTGAGTATTGCACGGAAAATCATGTAGAAGTAACAATTTGTTCCCAATTCTTTGTGTAGTAATATCAAAATATGAAATGAGATTCTACAAACTTCACCTGTAAAGTTACAGCAATTGTTAAACCATCTTGTAACGATGGAAATGACAACGTTATATCCTATTAATTCTACTGTAATGTTATCGAAATATTACATCTAACATTTAGGAGCATACTAATGAATCTATTTTTGAGTTGAATATTTTTGTAGGGAATATCACAAGTTTGATTTTTATTTTTGCAATCTACCATAATAATACATCACTTCTAACCATGACAATGAGGAATATGGACGACTTTCGGTTTTAACTGGCCAAAATTATTTATTCTTGAGAAAGTGCTTTCATCTTTTAGCTTGGAGAATTGTTTTGGAAAATATTTCTTCTAAACAAAGTAAGACAAAATTGGGATACGATGCATGTATCATTTCTTTCAGAGTTTGAATAATGAGCCTTGATGACACGGACAAGTAAAGAAAAAAAGGTTTTACGGCAAGAGAGTCATTCGATTTCTGTATACATATCATGGTCAGATTAGATTAGAGTTTCTATAGAAATCATTGCCACGTAACAATCCTTTAATCTAAACTAACCAAAATTGTGGACCTTAAAACCAAAGAACACTTGATTATGATTTATCGTTCCAGCATCCTTCATTTGCGCAAATCCTAAACATTGCGTAAACAGAATTATTTAGTTCCAATCATGTGAAATTATACCTATTATGACACAAATGCAAGAGACTTGCAGTTCTATCTTGATGATTAGAGGAAAAATAATAGTAATTGTTTCTAAAAAAAATATAAATTATATGCATGCATGATGATGAAATATAAAAATATTCTATTAATAATATTCTATTGAAGATTGTAACGTGAAACTAAAAAAAAAGGATTTATACGCTTAACTTGTTGGATAGAGCAACGAAGATAAAGACAAATGTTATGTTACAAACTTGCCATTATACACAATTAATATGTGATTATATGAAGAAAGATAAAGATGAAAAAAACATGTCTTCTTTCAATCAAAGTTTCCGACATGTTTACGTTTTAATCAGTAATCATTTTACTAAAATCAAATTTGATTTTCGTTATTAATCATTTCAAATAGTAGATTTTCCACTTATATATTTACAACGTAATATTTCAGCACAAGATAATAAAACTAATATTAATATAATAATTTTATTTGATATAAAAATTAATACTTGTTTTGTTATCTGATCAAATCTTTTAAGAATTAGATTATCTGATAATGTTAATCACTCAAATTATTTCGTCCACATGATTCACTGATTAATACTTCTCCTATAAGGAGAATAGGTGTCGATGTAGATTTCATGTCACTGAACCTGAACTCTTAAAGTTGAAATAATATTCTCAAAGGTTCAAAGAGTTATTCCTGTAAACATCAAAATCACAAAACTTTCACTTTTGTGATTGTTATAATAAGCGCTCGTTTAATGTGTACTTTAGACTTTGGGAATTTCACGAGAAAGGGAAGAATGATGAACTGCTAGGTATATGTTTAGACAGATCTTGCCTTGTGAGAACGGTCAACATTCAAAACTTCACAATATTTGTATGAAGCACAGAGATTTTCACAATACAAAAATCTCTGATCACATTGATGTGGGAAAGATATACACAATTAATCATTGACTTTTGGAGCCGTTCAAGTGTATACTATGTTTCCAGTCATTACGACAACGACGGGTCGTACTCGTAACCTACTCGACGACTTTGTACCGGAATGGAGTGTCATGCTGTTGGAGCTGATAAATAGTGTAAAAGAAACTGATCCGGAAGACAATCCCAAGGCTTGTGGCTATAGATTGCGATTTTAGAGACTCCATATCGTGCAGTCCGCTAGAACAATTTGCAATTATTCCATTGATTCCTATTCATATAGTAGAAAACTTGTATTTCTCATTTACCAACTCCTCTTTGTTTGTGCTAGCCTTTCACCTCTTTATTACCATACTGTCTGACAGCACAGCTTCGTTTCCAGCGCTCGAGAGCACATAACAGCATGTCCCAGAGTTGATCTCAGAGAAACGAAACGCCTGTCAGCAGTGTGTACAAAAACTGTGTGCTTCTCTCTAAATATCACCATATGGTTCTAAAGTTGCAGCTCAAATTACATCTAACCGACCCGGCATCCGTCCATCAGATTCGCAGGAAACTGGATATGAGAGACACTTAGAGGATCTTGGAGGATCCTGAGCTGAGCGTGTATATAGCAAGTATATGAACATCACTGGAAGACACAAGCAGCTTCTTTAGCCCATTCAGACCTGCAGTTTAATGAGGCCGTCTACGAGTAAGGTGCATTGCTCGTCTTCTTGTCCAGACGTACAGTTCAAGGAGGCCGTCTGCGGGAGTGAAGAGCATTGATTGTAATCTTGTCCCAGCGAAGTCCAGTACTTCGACCGGCCAAACAGATTGCTGAGAGTCATATCCTTGGAAACTTAGCAATAAGGTCTGATGCGCAAAATTTGTCCATTTCAATAGGCGATGAAATCGACAAAAATGTGAAAGATCCAAAAATGTGAAAGATCCAGATCTGCATCGCAGGTTCCTCCGGCAGTCAAGTGTCAGCTGGCAACCACTTTATCATGATCTCCACGGGAGATTTTAGTCTTCAAATGCACACAACCTTGGACTAATTGACAGAGACATGGTAATCATATGATGACAACCTAGTTTCTCAAAGCAACGGCTTGGCCCACAAGACGAATCGATAATACTCCCGATCCCAATGTGGTTCTCAGACTTCCTTTGAAATAGGCTAGAACTCCAAGAAAAACATGCTGGTGATTCCGAGGATCATACTAAATCAGCAAAAGATGGGCAAACCGTTGCAAACAGTCACTACCCGTAAAAAAGTGCTCTTCTTACGATACACAGAAGCTTTGTCAGCTGGTTAAGAAAGGTCGGATGCTCCTTAGTATCCACAGCAATCAACTACAGGCCTGATGCGTGAAACTCGTGTGATGTATACAACTGGGAGCTTTTGTATGCTGAATTATCTGATAACAATGATGTGCGTATCGCTGAGTGTACATTCCCAGAAGCGGATCGAAGTCCATATCTAATGCACAGACAGATCTCCAGAACGTGGCCTGTCCCTATGATAGAAGCAAAACTGCACTACATAAGTCAAAAGCCTTGATGAAATTCTCAGGCTATGTAACGTACCCACAGATAAGGAAATGGCAAAAATTCACAGGGTTTAATGACTTGCTCTGAGAAACGCTCAGCAATGATACAAATTTTCAACTGGTGGGAAAATGAAATTGTGACGTCATGGTACGCAGGAGACAATTCATGTCCCCTGTTTATTACATACATTAACTGAATAAACCTCGAGTCCATCTCGAGCTGTCGAGCTCGTCTTCAGCTGTAATGAAATCATTCAAAACTTCACAATATTTGTATGAAGCACAGAGGTTTTCACAAAACAAAAGTCTCTGATCACGTCGATGTGGGAAAGATATACACAATTAATCATTGACTTTTGGAGCCGTTCAAGTGCATACAATGTTTCCAATGTTTACGACGACGACGGGTCGTATTCGTAACTTACTCGACGACTTTGTACCGGAATGGAGTGTCATGCTGTTGGAGCTGATATATAGTGAAAGAGAAACTGATACGGAAGACAATCCCAAGGCTTCTGGCTATAGCTTGCGATTTTAGAGACTCCATATCGTGCAGACCGCTAAAACAATTTGCAATTATTCAGTTGATTCCTATTCATATAGTAGAAAACTTGTATTTTTCATTTGCCAACTCTTCTTGGTTTATGCTAGCCTTTCACTTCTTCTCAAACTTTACTGCCATACTGTTTGACAGCACACCTTCGTTTCCAGCACTCGAGAAGACATCGCCGGATGTAACAGAGTTGATCTCAGAGAAACCAAACGTCTGTCAGCAGTGTGTACAAAAACTGTGTGCTTCTCTCTAAATATCACTTCGTATGGTTCTAAAGCTGCAGCTCAAATTAGATCTAACCGTCTCGGCATCCGTCCTTCAGATTCTCAGGAAACTGGATATGAGAGACACTTGTCTCTTGGAGGATCCTGAGCTGGACGTGTATATAGCAACTATATGAACATCACTGGAAGACACAAGCAGCTTCTTTAGCCCATTCAGACGGTCTGAATCAGACCTGCAGTTTTATGAGGCCGTCTACGAGTAAACTGCATTGCTCGTCTTCTTGTCCAGACCTACAGTTCAAGGAGGCCGTCTGTGGGAGTGAAGAGCATTGCTTGTAATCTTGTCCCAGCGAAGTCCAGTACTTCGACCGGCCGGCCAACCAGATTGCTGAGAGTCCTGTCCTTAGACTTGGCAATAAGGTCTGATGTGCAGGATTTGTCCATTTCAATAGGCGATGAAATCGACAAAAGTGTGAAAGATCCAGATCTGCATCGCGGGTTCCTCCTGCAGTCAAGTCTCAGCTGGCAACCACTTTATCATGATCTCCACGGGAGATTCTAGTCTTCAAATGCACACAACCTTGGACTAATTGACAGAGACATAGTAATCAAATGATGACAGACTTGGTAATCATATGATAACAACCTCGTTCATCAAAGAAACGGCTTGGTCCACAAGGGGAATCGATAATACTCCCGATCCCAGTATGGTTCTCAGAATTCCTTTGAAATAGGCTAGAACTCCAAGAAAACCATGCCGGCGATTCCGAAGATCATACTAAATCACCAAAAGATGGGCAAACCGTTGCAAACATTCACTACCCGTAACAAAGTGCTCTACTTACGACACAGAAGCTTTGTCAGCTGGTTAAGAAAGGTCGGATGCTCTTTAGTATCCACAGCAATCTACTACGGGCCTGATGCGTGAAACTCGTGTGATTTATACAACTGGGAGCTTTTGAGATAATTGAATGCTGAATTATCTGATAACAATGATGTGCGTATAGCTGAGTGTACATTCCCAGAAGTGGATCGAAGTCCATATCTAGTGCACAGACAGATCTCCAAAACGTGGCCTGTCCCAATGATAGAAGCAAAACTGCACTGCATAAGTCAAAAGCCTTGATGAAATTCTCAGGCTATGTAACGAACCCACAGATAAGGAAACGCACAAACTCACAGGGTTCAGTGACTGGCTTTGAGAAACGCTCAGCAATGATACAAATTTTCAACTGATGGGGAAACATAAATAAAATCGTGACGTCATGGTACGCAGGAGACAATTCATTTCACCTGTTTATTACATACATTAACTGAATAAACCTCGAGTCCATCTCGAGCTGTCGAGCTCGTCTTCAGCTGTAACTCAAACCAAGGAAAATCATATATCCACAAGAGAAAAAATGTAGTTAATAAAAAATGCTTTACTTAGTCGGGAATGACCCTGAGAAGCTTGCGCTGCTTCTTTGACATCTTCTTCAAGGTCTTCGGATTTGTAATTCTCTGCACGGGTTGTGACCTAATCTCGTTCTCGTGTTTGATTTTCTTCCTCAACTCTACCTGTTCCCGCTTGGCACGTTTGTTCAACCTAATCTGCTCCTTCAACTCGTGCATGCGGGCCTTGTACGCTTTCTTGATCTCCCGAGTCCGATTGAGCTCCTCCAGAGTACTCTTCCGTCCAGTGACCTTCAAAGCTGCAGCTCTACAGGTCTTCGGCTGCTTCCATTTCCTGCCAGAAACCTTCCCAGCCAAAGTTCCGTCATAAGTGGGCTTCCCATAAACAGGCTTGCTATCAGTGGCACCACCTATCGCAGCTTTTTTTGCAGGCTGCACAATTTCCATCGCCGACTCTTCGGCGGCTCGTTCTTCCTCGTCTTCTCGTCTCTTCCTCTTGTTCTTGGGATTGTTCAAGGGACCTCCCAATCCTTCATCCAAGAACCGAAAATCGATCGGGTTCGCAACCTCGTTCGCCATGCCTGGCGATCCGACCGAACCGATCGAGGTTCTCGACCAGACCTCTCGATCGATTCGAGAGACCAATTTCCTCCAGAGGGGAGGGAAAGAGAACTGGGCCTCGAAGCCCCTGGCTTTAGGTTTAGGGATCTGGACCTTAAAGGTCTCCGTTATAAACCCCGGGCCACACAGGGAGCCTCTAGTCCTCATAACGAGAATCTTAAAGGTTTCATAATCGTGAACAAGGAAAGAATTAAAAACGCAACGTTGTCGGATACATATCTACACATTAAATTTAATCGAGACGTTTGTTTGTGATCTATTAGACTTTCAAGCTTAATACTATTTCCCTACCTTGTGACGTCTGTATTCAAATCTCATGATTCATTATTCACATGGGAATTTCATTTGTAAGCAACATCTTTCGATTAATTAATTTTTTCACTTTTCAGCAGTATTATAGTAATTTAATGCAGCTTATAATTTTCATTTTAAGTATTATAATAAAATAAATTATTCGAAAATTATTTTTCTCTATATTTTAATAGTGTAATCTCATTGAATATAATATTTTATCAATTTTCTTATGCATGTGATCTTTCCATCAAAATTCATAAGAATATATAAGACATGCAACAGATTTTTTTTAATTAGTACTTCATATTTAATGAGAGAATCATAAATTTCAATTTATATCATTTTTTGTTGCATGCTTCAATGATGTGCATACATGTTTTGTTGTCGGTTTGTTTATGTTGGCTTGTCTTGTGCAAAATAAACGTTAAATGTATTGAAGTGAAGTGTGAGTACTAACAAACAAAACAATTAATTTTAATATTTAATAGTTACAAATTAATTCTCGCACGAAATCTTTGATTTTATGTGATCTTCGATTAGAGATTAATTTGTTCATTTATGTTGAATTTTGTTTGTATTGTTTTAATATGATGATGAGTTTTATAGCTTAAGTAACCATCTCCATCTTGAAAACATATGTTCATACGATCATACATCTGTCTAATATAATATGCTTGTTTCTGCAAATAAATAAAATTTGATTGTCTAAAATATGTCATTACAAATTCAAGATTAACAGAAATTGAAGTGAATAATGCAATACTTTTGTGATTATCATACTCATATCATGAATGATCTTGAATCATACCAATTACCTGACTAAGAACATTTGTGAATCTCGCGATCATTTGTATTTTGAAATCTTCCCATATCAATCTTTAATTAAATATAATTTTTTTATATAAATATTATGATTATTAATCACATGTTAAATGGTTGACAATGATATGATTAAAATGCCCTTGGAGATATGTTTATACGAATTTACACTAAAAAAAATTAGCAAAGTAATTACCTTGTACCTTATATTCATTTCACATATGATATTTATAATGAATCACATAAAGAATAATAAATTTCGATTTTGATGATGTCTTTCAGTTTGTAACATTTAGAATTTTGATGAATCTGAACTATAATTGAAAATTACAGTGATGATTCTTTTTTTATAATTCATTTGATTCATTTTACATATATTTCTTATCATTAAAATTCAATAGTTTTTTTGAGATAAAATATTAAATTTACATTTTAAAAGAAAATGATACATGGATATGTTAAGAATGGTTACTTTGTAAGAAAGAAGTAATGAGTTGTATTAATGTCTTATGAGGAAGATACAGAAGATCTGCATTAACATGTGACAGGAAAGAATGATCGAAACTATTATTAAACAAGTATATGATTGGAATTATGATAGCCCAAATTCAGTTTGATAATTGAATAAAATGGAAGTACTACGTGTTGTGATTAGACTTGCAAGTTGAAAGAGTAATTTGAGTGGAGTAAGTTTAGGTGGCAAGTTTAATTAAGAAAGATGATGCTATTTCGATATGTTTCATAAGGAATGTGGAAGAAACTAGAAGAGAAGATGCGAAAGCTAGGGAGCAGCATGTTTCCAACACCAAACATGTGGATATGACAACTGAGATTCTGAAAATTATTTCTTATGAATTAAAAACTCGTTAGGTAAAGTGAGATGATAACGTTTGATAGTTCTAAATTCCGTAACAAACCTAGAAAAGGAGGAAAGGAAACAACAATAACACCACTTATGGAATGAGAGTTTTCGCAGGATGCCGCAACCATTGAAAATGCCAACCCGTAACTTTGTTGGAAAGTTGAAGATGTCACAAACTTGACATGATTCAACTAGAATTGTTACAAGGCTACACAAAGTGGTCTCAAAGCTCTCCACATATTTACTCCATCTTACCGATTTGGGGCTTTTAAAAAGTAAAATGTTTATCACTTGTTACTCCTCCCTTTATGCTACTTGTCTGAAAGTATACTGTATTTTTTCTAAGATTTTTGCTTTAACAATCTGCTAGAAAACTAGATCAATACAGTCAGAATACAAATGTAGATATATGCACATTCAGTATAAAGATCTGTAAAGCTTTGATATCCTGAGGGCTAAACCTCATGTCAAAACAGATGATTCTTAGAAACTCGAACAAGTCTGAATGCGCTAAATAGGTTGAGACTAATACTTAATAACTTCAACTCTGTACATCAACACATATTGTAAATTGAGTTCGTGGTATTTAGATGATAAGATAATAGATGATAAGATGGATCTCATTCTGCTCGTCATTTGAAGGATCTAAGGTTAACGACCGCCACATCTGAATGACGCTTATCCCCTACTAGCAAGAAGAGCGAGAACTAGAGTTGGCCTAGCTATCATCATTGATCGCGTCAAACTCAAGAGATACGCTGGCGAAATATTTGTATAAATCAATATTTTCATAAGAAAAAGTCTTGTAAATGTTTCTAACATGGAATGTGATTTCATTGCAACGAAAATCAGATCTTTTCTTCTCATCATTCCTAACATAGATTTGACGTGAGGTTTTTTTTCAGAAAAGATTTCAACACGCAATTTTCTGTAGAGCTTAGAAAAATATGCTTAGACCTCCATTCGTTCCTCTTAAACTTGGTCTCTAGGTGCATTCGCATCATTCTATTTAATTGGGTTCAGTTGACCAACGAGTGACCTGTGAAAGTGTTCTTCTTAACCTTCCGACTAACTATTCTTGACCTGCGATTAGAACATACATATTAAGTTGAAGTTCCGAAGAAAGTACATTTATCTGCAAGCTCTTGATTCACTCATCGTGTTCGAATCTTTCCCATCGCCAGCTTTGTAAGCACAACGAAGCTGAAAGTGAAGTGGGACTGACACAAGAGTGACACATCACCTCAAGACAATCAACACATCGGCAAACCAGAAAATGAACGACAGTGATCTGATACTGCTCCATTTTCAACCTAGTCCTGAATCCAATCTTCAGCTCGACGTAATGTTGAACCGCAGAAAGACATCCCAAGAGGTACTGATGTTTTCCATCCCACTTTTGGTTTCTTTAAAAGTGGAAAATAACGGGGTTTGACAACAATCACTTTGCATACACAATCGGCATAGCTAGAGTCCCCATCCTGAGCCAGAGGAAAACGAGGATTTGTTGGGAATCGGCACAAAAATTTGGATTTGATGCGCTTGTTGTTAAACATCGCATTCACACCAAGTCATGCCACACGAAGGCAACACGGGAAGAACATTTCACAAACTATGCAAAACTTGACCACTTTTCGAAAGCGATAAACTGAAACTAGGCGAGACGAAAAGCAATAAATAGCATGACCTCAACCTTCAATAAATTGGACTACACATGTTATGATCAGATTCTAGTTGTAATGGTTACCTCATAGTATGTCACAAGGTTTAAACACATAACATCTGGCTGTACAAAAGTCCAACTGCAGCAACCGCTGCCTCCAGTAGTTAAGTGGTGGAACTCGGAATGCCCAACGCTTGTCAGACAATGGGTTTTAGCACCTATCCGATGCTCCGAACAAACATAGTACCATCTGATATCTGTCATTACAACAAACATTTTAGTTCTGAAGTAAATCTCGACTAGACCTTAGCATATTCCAGTATACACAGGGGTGATAGGTGAAGCCACCACTAAGATCTGCTTTGGTCAAGCAAGATAAAATGAGGCCAAGGCACACAATTTCTGCATCTTGTGAACCTCACTTCATCCACAATCTCAGTTCGTTGCATCAGTCGGAGTACGTTGAGGCAACAAAGGCAGTCCAAGGCTGCACTCAAGGCTGTTTATAATTCAAATCTACAACATCAGAAAAACAGATACCATAGAGGAAAAAAAGACAGATATCTGACAAATTTCGTACAACATTCAAGTTCAAGCAGAAACAAATTGATACACTGAAAAGGCAACAAGAGCTCTCAGGTAATTTCTCCAGGAGGACAAGTACGGAGTCGCAGAGTTAAACCACTGCCCTTCAGCATTCCAATGCAAAGCACAGTTCTACAGTAATACATGAAGGTAGGCTTCTCACGTGTGATACAGCATTCCCTTTTAGAGTTGCTTCCTACCGACTGTTTTGGTTTATCGATCAGCTATTGAGCTTCCAATGAATGGCTTGATAGTGCAAAGCTCACAGCAATCACAAGTCGGCAAAAGAGGCAATTCCCACCTGTGAGGCAAAGTCTGTCATATAAGTTCCACCTCATGCTAGGCATAATCCTGCCAAAAAGTTCAAACTGAAATCACCGCATCCAGCTAGAATAACTGTCTTCACAGGTGGAACCATCAGCTCAAGATAGACTCGGCCTCCAACTCCACGATCGACCCTCCTTCAGAGGTGGTAAAGGGGCTGTATGCAACATGCTTATTTGTCAAACCCCTCTTACACTTCTCAAAAAATCTCCATGCCATCAATGACCTCTGTTTGAAATAATTGTTCCCTTGTCGTCTAAGGTCTACTGGATGCAGCCAATATCATATGTTCCTTCAAGCTCAAGGCGTCCTAACACCACGGGCAGCTCTGGATGCACTACACTTCGTCCATCCAGCGGTAGATCTCTGTTATCGACTAATAATGTCATTCTTCGGTTGGTTGAGGGACAGGGTACTCTTGCTGAGAGCTTGTCGAATGACAGAAGTGGGTTGGCAGCCCTTGGCTATCATCTCCTCAAAAAGTTCTTCGGCCTTGGATACTTCACCAACTTTAACAAGTCCCTCAATAAGAGGAGAGTACGTCCTCTCCGTCGGAACACAACCATACCTCTGCATTTCCTCAAGAACCTTGCAGCCCTCTTGCCATCTTCCTGCCTTGACTAGTCCAGCAATGAGAGCACTATAGGCGACCATGTCTGGATGACACCCACATGCTCTCATTTCTTCTAGAAGAACCTGCGCCGATTCCCACTCGCCTGCCTTCCCCAAGCTTGAGATAATAGGCGTGAATACGAACAAATTTGGCACCAAACCGTCTTCCTTCATCCTACCGAAGAGTTGCCATGCCCGGCCTAACTTTCCCACTTTAACAAAGTAATTGATAAGAGTAGCGTAAATGAAGAGATTCGGAGTGCAACCAGACTCTCGCATTTCAGCTAATAGGGTATTAACCTCTTCAAAGTGGCCCGCCTTGACAAGGCCATGAACGAGACAACTATAAGTAATCAAATTAGGGGCACAGCCCTTCATTTTCATTTTCTCAAAAAGCGTCCAGGCTTCTGGCAACCGCCTGGTATCCTTTACAAGCCCATGAATAAGAGCACTATATGTGACTACATTTGCTTCACAGTTTTTAGCTTCCATCTCATCAAAAACTTTCAGGGCGTCGTCAATCCTTCCAACCCTGACAAAACCATTGATCAACGCAGAGTAGGTGACGACGTTAGGCAGACATCCGTTCATTTCCATGAGGTTGAGATGCGTCTGGGCTTCATCCAAATTTCCAACTTGGCAATATCCATCGATCAGAAACGTGTGGATGGTAACTCCAGGACTGAAGCCATCTTCTAAGGACTGATGGATGACGTTCCTAACAGTTTCTAAGTTTTTCCTCTTGAAATCTCGAAAACTCATCAGCCTGTGAAGCATTATCTTATATGTCCGAGCAGTATGTTGGAAACCCTTCTTTTCTTTGACCCACTTGAAGAACTCGAACGTCCTGTTGACATTTGGTTGTCGCCTCATGATTTCAGAGACAGTGAGAGTCGAAAACTGCACATCCATCTTCTCTAAGGCTTCCTCCCATCCAGGGCTACTGATGATGTCATTTATGCTCTTCACAGTCAGACCGAAAGTAGCCGACTCATCTGCAACTGTCAAACCCTCTTGCATCTGGCTCATGGCACCTTCAGCCTTAAACCCAGAACCCTGTGAAGAAGTACCATCCACATTTGACTCCACGGACTTTTGGATAGTATGATATCCACTTAGAGTTCTCCGGAGAGGTTGAGATCTGAAAATCTGTTCTTGCTGGAGACAAGAGAAGCCTCCACTAGTCAAAGAGCCTAAACTAGCCTTTCTAACCAAACCTTCGTGGTTTTTATTTTTACTAGGTTCTGTACAGGAATCAAAGCTGTCCACAGTAAGTGCACGAACATTTTCACCTGTCCCATCCACGACCCTACCGTTCGTACTTGGAACGCTGCAGCTACGCTCTTCTCCTTGGCTAGCTATCTGATCACCTTCCCTCAAACATTCTACGTCGACGGTGTACCACCTGTGACAAGTGTTTTCTGAAACCCAATTTGCACCACCCGTGCCTAAAGCACCCATACTCTTGCACAGACATTTCCACGAAATGCCTGATCGTAGCATCTGATGCTTGCGGCAGTGGAGAAGAGGTGCCATCCTGCATTAGCAAATAAGGTTCCGATTAGAGAAAAACGATCTGTGAGGGCACACCTACTCTGATAACTTTGACGAATTGCATATGTAAGTAAGAATAACAAGATAATTAACACGGTACTTTCTTCCCATGAAATATACATAATTGAACACAGAGCAAAAGATCTGGAATCAGTACAGAGTTCATCGACATCCAGAAAGATTACGCATACTCTAACTCCTAATCGTACTGGAACTTTCCTCCCTACTAAGAACGACGATTTCTTAAAGCTCCCCAGACGCATTCAGGATCTAGAACGAATAAGCTTTTCACTTCAAATCTGTCATGAAGAAGACCCCGGAATCCAAACACTCTCCATCTGCATCATCATCTTTGATATACCATTGCATACAGCTGATCGTTCTGCAGACCTAAAATACCTGATACGAACTCCACGGATTCCTCACACCCTAAACAGATCACTCTACATCTAAAGTGTTCGCGGGCCACAAAGTCGTTTCGCCAATCTCGAACTCTTGCGGCCGAATACCAGATTCAAGGTATATAAGAAGTCAAGGACAACCGAAAAGGTGAAATCCCCGGAATTATTTACATAGTCGAAAACGAGTCCAAATTCTCAAGGAGGTAGAACAGGGCAAAGCTGGAGCTGATCAGCAAAGACAAAACCATGACAAAGCCAATATCACTGACCTGAAGGGAGGCCACTAAGGTTGCCAAGACTGTTGATTAGATCCGTCGACTGCACCCATTGCGCGATGGTAGATACTGCAACGCCCGCTAGTCCTCGCGTCCGGAGGAGAAGAGCTGTCAAGCGGAGCAGCTCGAAATGTGCACACATTCTTCGATGGCCGTGACACCTTTGTCGCTGGTCTCTTCCATTTGTTTTGTTTTCTTATACAAAAGCGACTAAAATAAAATCCTCGGTAGGTCGCTGGAGTCCCTGCTTGTCGCTGAACGATGCCATCAGCATCGAAAGGCCGTCTTCTCGCTGCCTGTGAGTATACTTTAACATTCATTTACAGCTCGACCATATTAATTAGCAGACAAACCTAATTTTGGTTTATTAGTACATCCTAATACCTTTCCCATTCGCACTTCAGTCGGTTTACTCGAGACCAGTTGAAGGAGGTCTGCTGTGCCCTGAAGGTTTTCTGGTTCGAACTCAACCGGTAGGAACAGATGTCCTGCCTCTGGTGCTCCCGGATGATGTAAACCATGAAGTGATGGCTAAAATTAAAGCACGAAGCCGATGATTAGTTGGAACTTTATCACTATTTTAATTGGGCTATTAGCCCTCCATTGCCTGTTTAGAGTCATCCTTGTAAGTGCTGATGGGGTCTTCCCATTCCTTTTGCCATTTTAGAGTGCCCCAATTTTAACTATTATTCGATGAACGGATGAAGGACATCCTTTCATGTTTCGAGAGCGCGTCTCCCGTCTCCCGCCGCCACTGCGCGCCGAGCCTTCCAGGACCCGGGTTGCCGGTTGGAGGCGCACTATTACTGGCTCCCTGGGTCAGGCCTGTCACGACAATAGCGATCGGCCTTGTCAGCAGCTGACTGGTAACCGGCAGCAACCCGCGAAGATCTCTGCTAATTGAGTAGTTTGGACATGGTTTCAAGACAATACCCAAGGTTCCGGGAGTCATCTTGGACGCCAGTCATACAGAATTTTGAAAAGAAAATTAGTGTGAAATTTCTTGTTCCACTTTAATCAATTAATGGAGAATGTAGAATCCATCTTGCCCACTTCTCTTTCGCATACGGGGCCAGTACCGTCTTAAGTGCAACAAAAATCACAGGAAGTGGAACTTTCTATGGTATATTGAACCTTGTGGCTCTTGCCGTGAGAAAGTCCCGATGATTTGTTCTAAGTCTCAAGCGTTGGTCTAGCTGACAGGACGAAACCACGTAGGGGACAGAATGTGGTCGGGCACCATCTTCCATGTTCGAAGCTGAAGGTTTTAGATTTATAGGGCGATTCACAGGGCAACAAAGATATTGTCTCAAGGTCAAAGGAGACAATGTACATCTGGCACCAAGGAAATGGGCCTGCTTCTTTCAGTAAGTAACTTGGTACAGCGATAAGGTAACAACTTGAATGGAAGGCGGAAAATACACAACATGTTAGAGCATGTCACATATGATTCAGAACGATAAGAACAGGTTCCCACATAAATCCACTATATTGCCTAGTGATTCAAAAAGTTGAGATTAGTGATCGAAGTTTTACTACCACCTTCCAATAAAACAAGATTGGAAATACTGCTGCGAAGTAGTCACGTAGATGGAGTTTATGAGATTTAGCGAATGCTTAGGGTATAGAAAAGAGCAGAAGTTGAATTTCATGAAAGAAATTCAGAGAAAATCGGAGCTGAACTTCATGAAAAAGATTTAGCAAAAGCTTATTGTAGGCAGAATAGCGGAGTTGAACTTCATTAAAGAGAGATATCCCAGGTTTAGGGCAGAGAGAAGAGCAGAGTCGAAATTCATGAAAGAGATTTAGCGAAAGCTTAGGGTAGAGAAGACAAATAGAGTTTAACTTCATGAAAGATTCAGGATTGTGGATAAAATGTTAGAGGGAATATGACATTTCGTGTCATGAGAAAAGTTTAAGTCAAATTTGATTACCAGTGTCTGAATCAACTTTTGAACTAAGAAATTGTGAACAATGAAAACACATAAATAGAATAGTATAACTCTGATCCGGCGCACAATAGAGTATCTTCATATCAATATTATTACGTTCACGGAGTGCTTCCTTGACAATTTGTGGTATTGTGCGCAAGATCGGAGTTATACTCTAGATTTTGTGTGTTCTCCCCATTCACGGCTTCTTCAAACAAAAGTTGATTCAAACTCTAGTGTATCAAATCGATCTTGTCCGCATTCCATGACAGGAGATATCTTAATACCTAGAACATTCCATAGACAGAATCTCGCGACGATCTGCCACGGAGTTAGACACTCATTGTCTAACATAATGATTGATGCGAAACATATGGCAAAAAAGGATAGAAAGAAAGCCGCTGGAATTTGCAGGCATGAGATGAATAACTGTTCTTGGTGATATATTTGTTGGTGATATAAGCTGGTCAGAAATTTGACCAGCTTGAGGAATTGTCGTCCGATACATCACCAAGAAGAGTCTACTGAATTTTCTCGCTCCTTTTCTCTTGCTTGCCTGCGCTGCCTGCAAATTCCAGCGGGCAAAATGCGCTGAGAATTCTCCTTTCGCGCGCCATGGTTTCCTCCCGAGTAACCCAGGAGTTTCGCAAACGCGGAGACTGTTCGGAGTGTCATGAGCAGGTCGATTCTTACATCTGTGGATCTAGAGGAACTGCTATGTATAAGTTCGGAATGGTCAAAATAGTTATGACGTGTCCTCCGGACCCTTTCAAAGGACTACAGACCGATGCCGACGACATGTACCATTCAGTCCGAGATTTGGAACGTGTCTTGGATTCAAATGTTTTTGAATTCAAGCTTAATTCAGTTTCACCTCACGCTGAGATCCGGCATGGAACTTTCAAGTCTTGAAAGTTCCATGGAGCTTGAAGTCTGCTGATTCAAAAAGTCCTTCAAATAGTGTGGATGAAAAGTAAACAACTGGGTCGAGACGACTTCCAAGTTCATCGTGCGAAATCTCAACTCAATCGAATTGAGATTTGGCAAGTTTTGACATTTAAATACTGTACGTATACGTAGTGACTGAAGCTGAAGGCAGATTGGTGGTGACCGGTTTCGTGGACAGTCTTAGCGGAGGGAGGGCGACTTTCACCGTTTTCCCAGATTGGCGGACGGCTTTGGGCCGGAGCGATATGAAGCTTTGTCCAGCGGACCGCCACCTTATCCCCGCAGACAACTTTGGCCCGTCTTGGCCGTCGTCGGCTTCTCCGTCCTGACTAGACGACAAAGCCATCTGTCCTGCTTCCACAGATGCCCCGATCCTTTTTCGCATATGTTTACAACTCATGGTGAGATAAACAATTTAGGGAAGATTATCTGATTGTTATCGTATATGGCAAGACAACGAAACTTGAGCTGTCCGTTCCCTTGTTCTCAAGAGTGAACAACTTTTCTCTAAGAACAACGAGTTCAACAACGAGTTCAAGGCAACCGCCCCGTGCAAATTGTGTTGTCCATGACTCGGGCAAACTAACAACGCAGGAAATCTTTGAGACAAATACCCAGAGCACGTTTTGTCTACTTCGTTGCTTGAGAGTCCGTTCGACACATTTCCAAGTCCTCCACTGGGGCTTCATAGCGAGTTTTATCTCCATGGTGACCTGGACATTCAACTCTGGCATCTCCTGACGCTTCCCTGCAGATTGCCGACCTACTCTATCTACGACTGACAGTATCTCAACTTCGATCACAATCTGCAATATCGTAGAATATTTGTAAAGGACGCACAGTTCCTTCCAAGAATATCTGATACAATAAGTATCGAGCTTATCATCCCATAGATTCAATCTTACCTTGTGCTTCTGGTAGTGTTACTCAGATTTGTCAATGATGAGAATCTAAAATGTAATATTCATCTCAATTTATTGTGAACTACGCATTTCTGAAATCAAATTTTATGAAATTTTTTTCTCAGTCAGCAAAATTTTTTTGTTACTACAGAATTTACTTTTTCCTCTTTTTATGACATTATTTATTACAAATTTTTCATATAATCCAATTTTTTAAAAATAAATTACAAATATTTTTTTTCTAATGACTATCCCTAATTACTTTCATCACATTCAAATTTTGATTCAAATATCATATATCAAAATAAAGTCGGATTTTATCTATGCTAAAAGTTTATAAATATATTTTAGATAAATAATAATTAATCAAATAGTATTTCAAGTCTCTACAAAAATTTGATTTAATCAGCAGTTATTTTCAAATTTTCTTCTTAAAAAAAGTTAATATGATCTATATTCAACACATCATAAATTATTCATTAATATTCATCAAAATAATGATAATTTCAAACATGATTTTAACTTGAATTTTAATTTATAATCATCTATATTACATATAATGTTTTAAATCATATAATATATCAATCCAATCCAATACTTGAGATTGCAAGGATATACATATGACTTATTTATAAACTGATCGGATATTTTAATTTTTTAAGTATAATTGATTTAATGTTAAGAAAAAAATCAAATCTAATGGTAGATATGTAAAAAACGTAGAATTTTTGAAAATTTTATTTTCTCTTATAAGTGGTAAAATCAAATTTTTATTTCATCTTTTCAAATTTTACTGGATTGGAGTAGATACAAATTTATATAAATATCTCAATGAAAACCACAAATTTACTATCAAACATTCAAACATAAATGGACACATCACACTTCTACTGTTTGACATGACTTTTATCCATGTCGAGTTGTACACCTACTGCCTCTCGATGCCCCCTGTCGATTTTCAGTTGCTTTGTTTCTCTGCTGGCTGGATGTGACGTTTGAAACTCTACGAGTTCGAGCTCTTACGTACAGCCAAAATTAGCCCAATTGGGCAATCCTTAGGACGTGATATGTTACTGTTCATGCATGCGAAATTTGTGCTAAATCTTGACACTGAAACAGCTGTGCCCTTCGCTGGAAACTTCCTCATAGTACTTTTGGTGCCGCTTGTCGATCTCCACACTCTTGCTCTACCACTTTGAATAGAACAAAATGTCAAAATGATCTTTCGCATACTCTCTGAAGTTTCGGTGCATCCTTCTTAACAGAGAAGAGAACATCTAAAGATCCATAGACCCAAGAATTGTGCTACGGTCGCTCAGGAGATTGCATTTGCAGGTGTAAGACTCGGTCTCCTAATTTCCGGCGACTCTGGAATGCAGTTCGGCGCACGCCTTTGAAGGTTTCTTCGGATTGAACCCTGCGCTAGAAGTTTGTGATAAGCCGCGGAGGAAAGTCTTCTGGTCGCGACTTTATTGTCATAGCCACCGATACGGATTGCGCGTTGGCGGCGCGCTGGTGTCCAAAACCGTTCTGGACGCTGAAGTAAAGAGGTCGTAAGGCGCGAACGA